GCCCCATCAAGATGGCAAAGAGATCAAAGAGCCCATAGTTGAAGAAGCATCTGCTGAAAATCTACCAAAAGTATACACTGAACATCTCTACTACACTTCTGTCCACCAGAAGGATTTTTTAAAAAGAGATTACTGCATCTAATCATCCAGTTGTGAAATTAACATGCACAAACATCATATGAATGACATTTACCCAGTGATTTCCCAGGAGAAGTTCAATTAACAGGTCAATGTTCTGACACTTCCTAACCAGGAAAGGCGGTGCTAAAATAAAGCTGCAGTTTGAAGCCTTACACATTTTGGACTACAGAGATTTACCAAATGGCAGCAAAATTCTTCATGAGAATTGTTTGCTGCTTGTGACATACCCTGAGGCTCAGATTTAACTAAACTGACTTGCATAAAGACAAGAGCATTCAAAACATGAGACAAGACAGTAGGAACTACATTTTCAAAACAGTGCCCAATGAATTGATTTCTCCAAGCATTTCTTTAAAATCTGTCCCACTTTGCTATTCCTATAGTTTAGATTAAAGAACTGGTTGAGTGCATAGATTTCCTAGTAAATCAAAGTAAAAGAGACGTATTAATGTATATATTTGCTATTGTTTCATATATTGTGTGGCATTTATAATGTGAAGGTAAACTACATATAGTCAGGGCCTTCAATACCTTTTTTGGTAAAGTGTTTTGTGTGGAAACAGCACACTGTTCCATTAAAAATCCTGCGAAGTAAGGGCACCGCTCAGATCCAGAGTTGGGAAGCAGGAACTGAGAAATGGGTTAAGGTAAAGACACAGGCTATATTCAGTCCTAGTGAAAGCATCTCCCCTGAACTGAAAGACGTTAATCACATTTACCTAATGGCCGTATTTGTCCCATAAAATCTATAGGTTAGAGGAAAAATTGTTTCTGCACCACATTCTCCCATAGGCCACAAGAGGAGAGATCCAGTCTAGTGGATTTTCCTTAGCTCTTGCCCAGCTTTTAGAAAGATCATTTCCCAAGAAGGAAAGATTAATCTGAAAGCATTTACCAATAAATAAACAGGCAACAGAGCAGATTTAATAAGGTAGTGACTAAAGGATTTTTATATAAAAAAAGAAGAAGAAGAAAAAAAAAAAGAAGTATAAAAGCACCCTTAAGAGAAGGAAGGAAAGTTTGAAATTGTAGCTTGGCTTCCTACACAAGAAATACAGAATAACTCATCTGTTGTTAATATACTGCATCTGGATTCTCCCCCCAATAGCCATTATGATCAATTCTACAGTAACTCTGAATGTAAACATGGAGGGGCTGTGCTGGTGGAAACTATTTGAATATGCCCCCAAAGCTGAGATGTGCCTATAAATAGGTTATATTTTTACCTGCTATTTAAAATAGTTTTTAGCCAAGCATGCTGCAACTCACCACAACACTCGCCTCTTAAGCTCAGGGAAAAAATCCTCCAGAGACAGAGAGTCAGTGAATGAACATTGTTTTGGGTTCCATGGCAGGGAAAGTACTCTGCATTCAAAAATAGATACATTTCTTGGGGGGGAGAGGGGGAGGAGAGAACAGCCTGACTCCTTTCTCTCCCCTAGGTAATGGAAAATGTCAGACTCCTCTCACCTTAGCTCCTTAGGGACTAATAAGGATGTGAAGATTCCATATTTGTAGTGAATATCTTGCACCAAACAGTGACCATCAGTGTCCTACAGCTAACAAACAGATATGGATGTTGATAAGCACCGACCGGAGTGGGGTTGGGGGGCAGGCACGGGAAATGGGACAGAGGAAGGGGAAGAGACCTGGTACTGGAGTTGAGTTGCCACAGTTGGAGGGAGAAGCAGGGGACTCAGACACTAAGGACCTAATGAAGAAAGGCTACCAGGTCAACAGGATGAGCAAGGAGATTCAGGCACTGGGGACAGAGTGGGAGGTTACTAGGCAATAGTAGAGAAAGGGGAACCTGAACCCCCTGACGTATTGGAAGAAAACTACATTGCATCCATGTTCATCTTACAGATGGTGCTTCTCATCTGTGTGGATGCATGTGGCAGATCAGGGACCTTGTCTGCAGGAGGCAGGACACGTCCCCGAAACTATCTTATTTCCATTTCCACATTGCATTTTACTGAATGTTTCCTGCATCAAACATCAAGATTAAATACCAGATGGACAGTCAAACTGAGCTCAGAACTGTGTGCTACTGTGACAGGTTTTGCAATGCTCTTGCAATCAAGGGACATTTGGGAAAAGGGGGAAAGAAATATCACAAGAGAGGCTATGCTTACTCTCATTATTTGGCATGGACACACTTGTTTACATTAGACTGGCCTCATCTAAACTTTGCTGGAGATTGACCATAATATTTACAGGCTAAAAGAACAATTATGTAGCTGAGAACAGCTAAATGGAACAAAACAAAACCAAAGAGAGGCAGAAATCACGTAGTTTGCAAAAGTAAAAAAGCAAACTGACCCATTAGCCCACACATCTTTCCCACTTCATGTAAATTAACACTGTTGTACTATTTGTACTATACAGGAGTACGGATGTTCTTTTGAGTTTATAAACATTTAGACCTTTAAATTCTCCATGTAATGATTTATAAAATACAGACTTTATGAAAGGAGATATCCTATGTATCTTCTGTTTGCTTAAAGAATATATCTTTAAGAGACCGATATTCTTGCTTTTGGGGCCTGTTCACAGTCTGCACTGTGATGCTTTCTTCACTTTGAATCTCATGGGTTGTATTTATTACATAATTGTTTTCCTTCTTTTACACACCATTAATCATCTCTCCGCAAAGATCTTCTTCCCACTCTACGCCTTACTATACATTCTTTGCGTTTTCACAAAATGATGTCAGTCCCAAATGAAACAAAGATAAGAATGGCTCAAGATTTGCATTTAAAAATTATCCCTTTTCTTCAAAGCTATAAATAAACTAAAATGAACAACAATCACCTTGGGATTGAAAGGAATACCTAGTATCCCTGTTTACACAGAGATAGAGAGTGTGATTTCTGGAAAATAATTGTGTTAATAGAATCCAAGAGAGTATACAGAGTTTTCCAGTGACAGGTAAATTCTGTACACAAACAACTTTGAAATAATAAACATTACTGGAAAATGATCCAATATTTTAATATATTTCCAATAAATTATTGTTTTACATTTCATGCTGCTGCAATGGGTTTCTTGTTTTTTATATTTTAATATGTAAAGCAAAAACGAAATTAAAATGTAGCTTCCATTTCCTTAGAAACCCCAGAGGAAGTACGAGCATTCTGAATTTTTATTTGTTGGTCTCTATTTTGTGAAAAAACTTTTAAAAGATCACTTCCAGCACACTTCCTCAGGTTTACAAGACTATACAGAAGATACATTTTGCTATGCTTTTTTATTATTATTATTTGATCCAAATGCTCATAGAAGATTACTTTTAAATTAACTAAATAATGCTCTCTTGCTTATTTTTGTTATAACATTAAAATAACTGTAAAGGTTAAAGACTCCGTATAACATGATACGGTCATGTAAACAGAGAAGTGCTGTAACATGTCTATTAAACATTAGCCCCTAAAACTGCCTAGAAAGCTCTGTTCTCTATGAGTAAAAATCAGAGCTGTTGAAGCAAAACAATATTTGTTTTATTGACAGATTTTAGTGTTATGTTTCCTACCAATAGGTTCCATTTGCAGTTTACATCCCAGAGTAACTGCTTATTAGACACATTGTTTATTTGAAAACTATGATGCTAATAAGAAGCGCTCATATTAGTAAGGTCTGATTTATAGCTTTGGGTTGTTGTTTTTTTATCCTAAGGGACTGAACTTCTGAAACTCCAAAACTTTCCTCTGTTATTTACTAAGGAGATTCCAAAGAAAGCTTATGTTCTTTTTGTTTCGTGTATGAGAAATTTGTCCAATAATAAACAGCAGCTATATTGCTATCATAAATAACTGTAGCTGCCTGTGATAGAAAGTTATGTTCAACATTGGAAGCCATTTCATACACAACCAGTTATTCTCTAATAATCCTGCAAAAATATTGTACTTTTGCTGTATTAGTATAATTTCTTGTTATAAATGTTGCCATCACTATGGTATCACAGCATTAGCATATTAAGCCCAAAGGGAAGGAAGAAAGAAATTCCAACATAATTTGCAGTGTTACAGGAAAGCACCTGTTTCTCTTATTCTCTGAGGATTTCTGACGTTGGACTCCTCAATAAACACACATTAGCATAACCCAAATGGAATTAATTATATTTACATATCCCCAAATGTATAACAAACAGAGCAGTGCTTAGAGTGCAGTGGCTGTATTGCAAAGAAATACCTCACTTATTGGTGTGGTTTAGGGTACTTGTGATAGGTTGTTTTAAATACACTGTACGGACTCTCTCTCCTTGGTCACCAATTAATGGAACAACTTTGCCAACAGTTGAATGCACAAATGTAGTTATTGGCTAGCAGAGCTGCATCGATTCCATTTGGGACTGCATGTAACTCACTATGCTTATTATTATTTCCATTACAGCAGCACACAAGCCGAAATTCAGGGTTAGAGCCCAATAGTCCTAGGCATGTTAAAAACATGTAGTAAAAAAATTATTGCCCTAAAAAGCTAAACAACCTAAGATAAGGACAACATGCCACTGGTGCATGAAAACAAACAAGCAAGGGTTGGGGGGATGAGGATGAAGTACCAATAATATGACAACACTTTTATGCAGACTAGCTGCATGGACAATTTTGCCTGTTCTCTGGCAGTAATTGTGTTAAGGATTAGGCCCCAATTTTAGTATACATCACACAGAACTGTCGCAAACAACTTGTTTCTTATCCGCCTGTGTATATCCATGCACACATACAGAGCATACTATGGTAAGGCTTGTTTGTATCTTATTCTGAAATATACAAAAGTGAAGGAAAACCCAAAGGTGGCACATACATGAATGAAGCAATACAGCTGCATTCGGTATGCTGCATCCAAATCACATGTACCTGTGGAATGGAGTTTAGATGGAGTCAAATATTGCTGTTCTATTTTGGAGCCTTTCAGATTGGAAATTGGCTAGGAAAATTCATCTTACATCTCTGGATTCTGACATCATTCATTTCAGATGAGGAATAAGGAGAAGAAGCAGATGACCTCTTGGAACAAACAAAATTCCTCTTTTTGTAGAATCCTTACAATAGTAATGGCTGAAGAAAAAGAAATGCATAAAATGGATGATACTACATTCTCCATACTTTTCTGAGCCATCAGCAACTTTACAAATTAAAATTTCTATCAAAACTTTTATCTAGTTAGACAAGTAAACTGAAAGGGCATTAGATGTAAAACCCATTAGAACATCCTAAAGAAGGAGATTTCTGTATAATGAATCTGTTCCCATCTCCCTAGACTTAGAGTAACAGTACAGCCCACTGTGCTGCTCCAAACAACCACCATTTATTAAAATCAAATTGCCAATGGAAATTTTCACCCTTCTACACACAAATGTAGAATTTTCTCCACAATCCGCAGGCCAGGATAGATACGATTCAATCCTGGGACAGTAGCAACTTGTATATGTCTATATATACAATAATATATATATATATATTACTACTTGAAAATCTGCTATATCATGGGTTAGGAAGAGAAACCATGTACCACTGGATGGAGAAGATTCCCAGCTTTTAGCCCAGGAAGATGTCAAGATAAGAGTTAATATTTTTAGGTATAAAAGGTTACTTGGGATCAATTTTATGGCTCCCTGAAAATCTTGTACCATTGTGATAACAACTAAGGCACTTGGTTTACTGGCAGAGGGATATGAAAAATAACCCCAATAAAAATGGTTTAACACTTTCTAAAATAATTTTCTGTAATGTGCTATATAAAGAATATATTTGTGTGAACCTGCAAAACTCACCTGTGCTCTACCACTTATATTACACCCATCCCAGAACTTTTATACTGCACCAAACAGTCTTATTCTATGGATGTGATTTATAAAAATGGGGCAGAAAGCAATGACTAGTTAAAATTACCCAACATTCCCCATGATAAGAATCTGTTTTCAGTTTCTTATAATTTGATAAACTTGAACCATTTGGGCTGAAATTTCCCATGCCTCAGGCTGAGTATTTTTGAAAAATTTCAGCAAAAACAGAAAAGCCATTTCTTGGAATGAGGTTCGAAATAGGACTTTGTTCTGTCCGTGTTAAAAAAAAAACAACCTACAACTGTTTCATTGAGAACCTCTAGTGCCTTTGTGCTTTGGAGCTGGAACTTTGAATTGGCAGGGGCATTGCCCTGAGGTCAGAGATATGCCTTTTGCTAGCACTCTGAAAATTCACCCGAATTTGGCCATGTTATAAGCCCCCTCTGAAAAATCTCAATTTACACTTGCTTAGTAGAGACTTGTTAGTTTGGCGGCTTACTTCTTTGAAGAGTCCATCTGCACTGATCATGCTCCACCAATTCATAGCTCCTATGTGCCATCCTGAGAGTATGAGTGAGCATGCTGCAACCTGGGGCTGCATGAGCTGAACAGGACTTTCCCTCTGATTGCTCCTCCTGGTTGCCAGGGAGCCAGTGCAGCACAGAGCACAGGAACTGACAGCAGGGAAACGGCCTCTCCTGTGCTCTCAGTACTCTCACTACTGGTGCCCAGGCAGAGGAGGAAATAACCAAACTGAAATGCAGAGGGGCACAGAGCCAGGCTTGAGGGTGGCGAGATGGCAGACTGAAACAAAGAATGGGGGAGAGATTGGGACAAGTACAGACAGAAGGTGCCAGGGAAAGGAGAAGTGGGGATCATAAGTGCTGGAACTAGGGGTGCAGCCATACCTCCTGGCTTGAAAGTGGTTTCCGTTATATGCAAGGTTTACAGCTTGGTTCAGTGACTCTCAGAACCCCCACTATACTCCTGGTGGGAGTGGGAGGCTTGGGGCAGAAGAATCTGTGATCACGAGAGAATGTTCCTCTCAGACTCTGGAACCCAGGATTATTGAGTTCCAATGTTCCTCTGCTGTATTTAATGGCTGTGAAACCCACTGGCAAAACACGTGCCTCATCTCCCTTTAGTGGCTGGTCCACACGGAGCGTGAGAACCTTCTACTGCTATCAGTTACTTTGTTAGCTCAAATGGCAGAGGTCTGTGCTGTGAAGCTAAAGGATCTAATCCTGCTGAAGAGCAAGGGCGGGGGGGGGGGCGAGGTTCAGAAATGACTAAGTAGGGGAAACTAAAAAGAACGGTTACTTACCTTCTGTAACTGTTGTTCTTCGAGATGTGTTGTTCACGTCCATTACACATTAGGTGTACGCGCGCCGCGTGCACGGACGTCGGAAACTTTTTCCCTTAGCGGCTCCCGTCGGGCCGGCAGGGCCCCCTCCTTCCCGCCAGAGCGGCGCCCCGCTCCAGGGTATATATATCCCTGCCGACCCGCCCCCTCCGGTTCCTTCTTGCCGGAGACTCCGACAGAGGGGAAGGAGGGTGGGAAGTG